AGAAAAAAAAAAATTCTGGTTTGTTTTTGATTAGGGGAGTGTCAGCGAACATTAGTGAAGTGCTTTCCCGCTTATGTTCTCTACATTAAAGCACAAAAAAGCTTTTATTCTTTTCCTTATCTTAATTTTCTCGTCTTTGTTTGGAGTTCAGGCACACCCCCTTTATGTGAATCTCATTGTTGACTTAACGGGTTTTATGCATTTGATATATTTGAAGTGGATTATGGGGTCAGCAATGCAAGTCTTCAACTATAGCTAAGGAAAATTGTGCTTTACGATGTCTGTCACCAGTTTGTTATGAGCTCATCTACGAAAGTGATCCGGTGAGTTTTTTCATAGCTGATAACTAATATCCAGTGCTAATATCTGGTTATATCAGGTTAGCTTCAGAGAGTGTAGAAAAGCTACTGTTTTTATGATTCTGGTTGCTTAATTTAGTGGTAATGACTGTCTTTGTGGATTAATGAACTGAACAGTTGGAAGAAGGGGAAAAGGACTTCACTAGGAGTTCAGAGTACAAGTACTGCATGCACAGGTAAAATGGCTATGTGGTATACTGGTAGTTGTTGCTTCATGGAATACATTATGTGAAATAAGCTTATGTTATCTGTCTGGTTATGTAGTTTATCGTGGATTTTTGTTGCTGGCTAGTGAAATATGCTAGTGGTGTTGAGTGAGAAACTTTGTCCATTCGTATTTCAAGACATGCCATCTATGATTGTACTGACAGTGAGGATGGACTTGGTCTAATTTGAATACATATTATACATCTAGATGCATATGAGTTCATGAAAATAACAGTTAGCATTATTATAGTAAGTATGTAGTTTTGTTTATAAAGTATGGTAAGTTGATCAATCTACCAATTACATTGTATAACAACAATAATGTGAGTTGGAGTTACTCATCACTGAAAATCAATTGCATTATAACCACATTGGTTCCTACCTAAAAAGTTAGGCGATCCCAGATTAGTATTATAATGTATATACATTTTAGTTAGTTGAAGTATGAGATGGGACACAAAATAATTGAAAAAATGCAATCTACTAATATGTTAAGTTTGCATAACAATTATACACCAAAATTTGAATAATATTCAAAACCAAAGCTACTACTTAGTTTTCCAGTCAACACACNAAATGGAAAAAAGGATTTGCTGTAAGTTAAGACAACTTGATTACTCATGTTCTAGTAAAAATGATAAAATAATACGTAACATATATGTATATATTTTATGATTTCCATGACAACTTATTACAAACTCATAGTTTTCAAATTTCCAACTTGATTACTCTGTTCTTTTTTGTTATGTAAGTTTATGTCTAAACCAAAAGAATGTATTCGACTATTCGGTTGCCATTCTTCTAGCTTTCTCCAGGTTCTTATTTGCCTGATATTGAAAACTATCAACTTTTTTTGGCGTGTTTATGATTGTTTACTTTGTATTGCCAGTAAATAATATGTCATATCTTCTTTAACTCTGGTTGTAGGGTTTCCCTTGGAGAAAGCGTAGATGGTATTAGAGGTTCCTTTAATGTCTAGTATCTTATAAGTTACAAGTAGAAGTGCATCTCTGGGCAGAAACTGAAAAACTAATTATCAGCATAACTACCCAAGAGCTCAAATCATACAATCATTCCGAGAAAGCTATCCGACACGAGGATGCTCATAAGGGTGTAAAAGGTTATTCTATAATAGTGTTGCAAATAATGCAGTGTTTGCTCTTAGTTTCATATAATACGTCCATGGTTCATGTAAACTTAATGCGCGTTAATATGCCGACTGGAACAAATGTGTTTGATACGTTTAATGCCATCCTTTTTTTCATAGCTTCTGATTGACAGTTTCAGCCCTTGGTAAACCTACATTGTTATTGGCTTGTTTTTCATGCATTTTGTCTCGAGTTAAGTTACAATGTTGCAATTCATCACGATTTAAGTTACAATGTATAATACTAATGCCTCATTTGCTTCATTTGATAGAATAGGATATGAGCAGTTATCATGACATTATCATGCACTTGGTTACATGAACAATCCCCTTAGAGCATCTCCAATGCTCAACTTTCAACATTAATTAAATTTGAACACATGTCAATCAATGGATTAATGTTTAATCTACATGAATTGAATGTTAAAAGAATAGGACTTTCATTTGAATTGTTGCCTCCAATGCATCCATTCAACAACCATACAATTTGTATATGTGGATTTATTCAATTATTAATAAAATCAAAGAGTATATTAGAAAAACACCACAAATTCCAATAATTATATGCATGATGTTATTTTATGTTGATTCAGTTAATTTTTATTTATTTCATCAAATTTATAAAATTATTATTTATTCAATAATTTCTCAGTTACAATATGTATAACCACACAATAAATATTTTTTTAATTAGTTCAAAATAAAACAACAAAATATTAAAATTGCAATAACTCAACAAACAAATATCATGAACATAATATTTTACTTTTAAGGACATTATTATTGATAAATTTTTTAAATTTTAGTTGTAACTCATCAAATAATTATACTGTATTCAAATAAATTCTCAAATGTTTTATTGGATAAATGTAAGGGTGGGATTTTTTCAAGTTTATGAAAAGCTCAAAATTTGTGTCAAATAATTATCAAAATGATGAGTCATCATGTTAGAAAGAATGTGAGAAATTAGAAAGTGAGCTTGACAATGTTAACATTAATTTTTTTACACATAAGCATGAAAGGACCCATAATCTAATGCATTGGGGGATATATTATTCACACACTTTCTATCTAGATTAGGTGGATAACTTTTTACCCTTTCAAAAGAATGCATTAGAGATGCTCTTATAATTCACACACAGCCACATTAATCTAATTGAACGCTATCAACATAGATCCATTGAAGGACTTGCGACTCCTTGATTTCTTCTTGTGACCCCTTGATTCTTCTTAAGAATACTTGAAAAATGCTTATTTATGGGGCAAGTTATAGTCCTGTGGGAGAATGATTCTCTCATTTTAATATAAGTCATTAGATCTTTTAGTTTGATATAGACCTTTAGATGTATTCAAAAAATGCTGATGTGGCAATTTTTTATTGGAAGTTTATCCAGAGGAATGGCTTATTTTATACCTTGAAATGAAAAGGTAGTGACTTCAGACTTGGGGTAAGATGCATTTGAAATTGCCGGTCACTAGAAAAGGAAGACAACTAAACAATACAGTTTTTGTGTGAGATAGCCTGACAATTATGTTAGTCGACTTGTTATATGTTTTAAATAAAAGTTAAAATTTATATTGAAAAAATATTATTGTTATAAAACTAGAAAGAATAGTATAGAATAGAGGAAATGTTATATTTTATTATTTTCATTATATTTTAACGTAGCGAAAGCTTACGAAAAGAAAAATAAGAGATAAAATCTCAAGACAATATTTTTAATTCATAAACTTGACCTCATCTCCATCATTCTCTCCCTCTCAAAAAGGATTTGCCGTCGAATCTGACGCAATCTCATCTTCATCGACTCCACAATCCTGGTCGGATCAATTTTATGGGCCTCGAGCATTTCCAAAAATAAAATATTTTTCATCAAGATGAGGTTACTGCTTAAAGAAGTGAGAACCATTTGTGTTTGGACCACTATTAGCGGTGGACAGAAGATTCACTCGCTAATCACACGCTTTCAGCTAAAACAAGATCATTTGATACATCTGGCCCCATAGATGATTCTACAACTACATGGTACTCCTCCTCCATCGACGTCATAGATAGCTCCTTGTCAAAAACGGGTGGACCCTCGTACTCTGTCGATCCCTCGGCATAAAAAATAGGTGGACTCGTATATTCTGTCGAGCTCTCGTCATAAAAAAGAGACGAACACTCATATTCAGTTGACTCCTTGTTGTCCAAGAACTCGGCGACTTCCAAGCCATCGGAGAATTTCGAGATCTCGACCAGAAAGAAGCCTCCCATCGCCGATCATCGGCGAAGTAATCCTCGTCCCTTGCCGCCATATTACCAAAACAACGTATCTCGAATATGGTGACGTCAAAGTCACAGTCATCGACAAACAATTGAGGCGATCCGGAGCGCGGCACCTTGCACAACTACGTCCATATTCATTTGTTTTTGTCAACACTTATTCATTTCCTTTACTTTCCATATTAACGTAATATATTGTGATATCTCATTATCAATCGATTGTATATAATTGTATTGTTTACATACTTTTCATCAATTGTATATGCTGTTGGGATCTGTGAGGATCGTCCTAATTGTGTGAGTGCGCAGCGGATCTACAAGTTAGCGTAAAAAACGTATGGGTTAAAATATTGCAGACTCTGAGACATTGTAGATTTCCTTTGATGGAGATCGACTGATTTTTCAATCGCCGAAAATTGCCTCAACGGACATCTCACGGGCATCGGGTATCGGGCGAGATGTGCGGATGGCGTCGAGCGACTTCTAGGACTGCACCTGGTCATGCATGGGTCGACACGGCTGCTGGACGAGAGCGAGTCGTGAGGGTATCGCTGGTCTCGGCATTCAGCAAGCGGCAGCATGCGCTGGAGCGGGACGCGGGCGTTGCAGTGTGCGCTGGGAGCGGGACGCATGTTATGCTCACGGGGTGCCGAGCATAGTGGGTCTCCTCGGGTCGCGTCAGGTGATGCACAGTAGCCGACGGCGTTAGGTGCTCGGCCGGTGGTGGTCGAATTCTCGGCTACCTTGGGATCTTCTATTGAATATCCTAACATCTATAGAAATCCCTTTGTGGAAATGAGACTCTAGATTTCTCTTTGGTCTAAAGTGTATGGATGTCTTCCAAATATATGAGAGGTGGTGCATTTATAGGCTTCAATAGGGACCCTAAGAAGACATTAAATTGGGCTTCCCGTATATGGGCCTAACTGTGGGCTGAGCCAACTCTGCTCATATACGAATAATACAGTCATTCCACTAAATTAGTATTATTGCAACTCCAATTCCCAAATTACAGTTTCATATTTGATTCTACATTACTCGAATTACCTCCCCATATTTAAGTTATAATGTTCATCAATCGATTCGAGTACTGACAAGCAAATCAATAGATATCTTGTGCTGAAGCTAGCACCACTCAATTAACATAATAATACTTCTGAGTTCACTTCAGGGACATCATCAAACTTCAACCATCAGAAGTACATGGTGACTGTAAATATTGTAACATCGCACCATGTCATGCAACATCACTACCCAACTCAACCAGTAATTGATTCAGTCAGATTGAACCTCACTGTGATGAATCAAAGTAGTAAATACTACATACATGTGCATGTTTATATCTTATGGGTTTAAAGTACTCAGTAATTAGCCGAGGCCTAGTTCGTTTACGTCGATCAGTATAAAACGAACTGCTCCTCTCCGGGATTTGTTCAATACACAATTTTACTAGTGCAATTAATCGTCAAGACCGACTGTACCGTTCACGCTACAACCATTCTGATGGTTTGTTCAATTTCTATCTAGGTTGTGAGCCATTACTTTTATGTTTCGCAAGTCATTGACAAATGATCTTCTTTCCATCCATGATGAACTATTTATCTAAGTGCAAAACAATATAACATAGAAGTTGTTTAATCAAACATGAATTCTCGTTCAACATAAATAGTGTACATAACATCTAAAGCCTATTTGTTTATTGGTCCATCAACATGTGAATGTAGGACCAAGTGCACAATTGATTAGATAAATGCAGCCCACCAATAAACAAATAGGACCAAGTTCAACATAAATAGTGTACATAACATCTAAAGCCTATTTGATTAGATAAATAATGTAGGACCAAGGCTACTCCTTATGTTTGTTGCTTGAATTACAAAGGTTGATTGGATGGTGGGCTGCATGCATATTGGATCGTTTAAGTTCTACTTATGTATCTAAAATAAGTTGGGTTAGTAAGTCCATGGAAATGATGTAGCCTCTGAATCCAAAGTATCAGAAAGTCGTGACTTGTTCACTCCAAGACGAATCGTCGAGGGGGCATTTGTAGACAAATAACTTTTGAGCCAATAAATGGTGACAAATGTCAAAAATCAAAATTCATGTTAAAATAAATTTAATAATTTTCTATTTTATATGGGAAGTTAATTAAGTTTTAATTCCTAAATTAAATAGTTAATTAAGTAATTATTTAATATATATTTTTGGCAAACTAAAGAATGCCATCTGTATATTTTGTTGGTCAATTAGAGAATGCCACGTGTCATTTCTTGAACTGTTAAATAAATAATTATATCTTTTAAATAATTATTAAGAGATAAATATTGGATATTCATGGATCAATCAAATTGGAGTCTTTTTTTCTAAGACTCTCTCTCTTTCTCTCTCTCTCTCTCTCTCCTAATTATCTCATTAAATAATTATTAAAAAATAAATATTAAAAATTATGGACCAATCAAATTAAAATCTTCTTATTCAAGACTCTCTCCTAATACCTATAAATAGGAGCTCTCCATAAGGTCACAATCACAATTCATATTCAAGTTCAAAAGCTCTAGAGAATTCTCTCGACGAGATTCAAGTGTTCCTGAAGATCCAGAGACGTACTTTAAGATTCGAAGGAAGATTCAAGCGCGTTCAAACTCAAGACCAACGTTCAATCCAAGGACAAGCTGCCAAACCTCCAAATTAAGTTATTAAAGTCAAGATCGACGTAGAGAAGATCGAAGATTAACTTCACGGCGAAGACCAAAGACTCGCGTTCTTCACGTTCTTAGGAAAATACGATGTTCGATTCGAGATCAAGATGTCAAGCCCTTGAAGAAACATTATTTAAAATCAAATTCATGACCGGTGGAGATCAAACTAAAGATTCATCTCTAAAAGTCTAAGATACACTTGAATTGTTCTTGAAGAAATTAATCAGAGGAATAATAGAGATTTGTAATCCACTAATTTCACGTGTTTCATTTGATCAAT